TGAACTGACCATGTGTGCATGTTTTGAGTCTCTGCAAATGTATTGTTAGCATGCGTTTTATGTTTTTTAAACTGGTATTTTATTTCTATATGTATATATAAAAAAGAAAGACAATGTAAAAAATAATGGTAAGGACCTATGTATTTTCATTATGAGTGTGATGGTATGGACATATTTCTTGAAAGTGCAATATGTGAAGCATGTTTATGTAGGCTTATATGTACATTCATTTATATCCCAATAACAAATAAAAGTTTATAATGTAACAAGTATTAATTCTCAGTTTCTTTGTGTTCCAAAGAAACCCCTTTTGGAGCTGTATGTAAACACACAACCTTCCCACCCATAACATTTGATAGTGTAACCACAGCAGCAGATTCACAGGTCTGCTGTTTGTCTCCACACAAGCACAAATTTAATGGCACACTTTATCAAAGAGGCCAGCGCTCATATCCTTGCTCTCATCTGTCTCTGAATGCCCTCTGAGCCCAATAAAAGCATCTCCTTCACTCCATAATGACTTCCTACTCCATTGCAAATGACAAGCTAATTGTCCACATTGTAAATCACGAGTGGTGAAATGACATCTACGTAGCACACCCATTGCAAAATGAATAGATCGGAGATGAATGGATATATCACTGTCTTTGTATGACAAGACAAATTGGTTGCCAGGTAAACATTTAAAAACAAACTTAAACCTGCCACGACAACCTTGTGTCTGAAGAGCCATCCCTGGAGAGGCTGCCTTTCTGTCCTCTGGTGAAACTTTGACAGATATCAATGTGTAATCCATTTGCAATCACAGAGCAAGTGGTTATTAGACCACCCGAGGGTCTTACTGTTTCGTCACATTTAAAAAAGAATGAACAGATTGCGAGTCATTTTTGAATTGGCCAGTTAGCAGTCGAGAGTTCCTCAGAGTTCATCTTCCACAGCTAAAAATGACTCAACAATACATTATTTTTTCTGGAATGCACCAATTTCCCCTGTATACCCTGAGAGCAGGATCGGTCATAGTTTCTGGCTCTTTGAATAACCTGAAATTCACAAACTGTCAGTCATGATTCTTTTCCACTCGTCACTCTTTCTCTTCCTATCCCGTCTTCATGTCAGTTAGAGAGGCTTTCAGGTTCTCTGGCTAATGGGGTCATTTAAAAACAGTTATATCTCTCTTCACTGCATGATGTGTAAAATGACTCATATGTTTTCAGATACAGTGAGGTTAGGTTGTACTTTAACCAAAAGGTTTTACATGCAATATAGGAATCATGAGACACTGTACTGCAATGCGAACATATTGATGATCATCCAAATTTCCAAACACAGATAAAATGTCCACATTGATGCGGTGAGTATTTGTGCCATCTAGTGGTTTAAGGCTTGTTCACACGAAGAACACCTACTATAAACTATTAATAGGTTGTTTTTTCTAGTCTGCTGCCATTTCCCCTTGGCCCAGATAGCAAAGGTGGGTAATTCAGGGGTCTCAGCTGATTTCACTAATTTGTTCTCCTGTCTGAATTAGCAAATCCAAGTGTTTGGAACAAAATACTGAGGAGGACTTTTACTTTCTGAACCTTGACGGTACTCCTCTGCTAGAGAGCAGGTTCAGTGATCTTTACTGGGTTCTTGAATAACCTAAAATTCACAGGCCATCAATCACGACTTTTCTTTTCCATTTTCTACCCCTCTTCATGTCAACTAGAGAGGGGTTTTAGTCTCTCTGGCTAGGCTCATTTTGACAAATTGTAGTGACACTGGCAACGCAGTTCAATATCTCTCTTCACTGCATGAACTGTAAAAAGATTATTAGGATTTCACATCCAACAGGGCGATGTTGTATTGTCACAGCTGATTAATCGTTGATCATAGATAGGCCTATCTACTACTTCATAACATAAGGAACTAGTGAGAATGAATTTGGAGATATTTTCTTTCAAACAGATCATTACATAAACATGAGTCTCAACCATCCAATCAGAGTTCTCATGGTAATGAGAACAAAACTGATTTGTTAAAGGTGGAATACCTAAGATTTTCGCATTAAAATATCCCAAAATCACAAGGCCAGTGTTATATATTTAGTTAAGATGATAACTTACAATATTCCAAATGTTTCAAACAATGTTTAAATCGCGAGAAAATTTATATTTTTACCAAGGAAACAGGGCGTATGAGCAGGGGTGAGCTGGGAGTCGCCAGTCAATTGCGTCATTTGTTATGGAATGGAGCACAATTATTCTTTTCATTTATTCTGGGAATGTGAACTGTTGGCTGTAAAGGGGGTCACACACCGGACGAGAAGCGCCGCGCCACGTTTAGGACAACTCCACAGTAACGTTATCGAACACCGGACGCGCACTTTCTCATCAGTGTATGGCCAGAAATATTGTTATGTTTAATGACATGAAATGAAGATAATGTCTGTTCTATGCTATGATTGTACTGTACAATTAAATACAATCGTTGCTGAGTTTGCATTCTGAAAACTTTACCTCAGAGCATCCGTTCACTGAATAAATTGAGAATCTCACCTGAAAAATCTAATAACATCAGCAATTGTCATTCAAGCAGATGATTTCTGTAAATGAATGCAAAACTTAATGCATATTGCAGCATAGGGCGAAGTCAGGATCCATTAGCAACGATTTGAGACAAAAATAAGTCACTTCGTCCAGTGACTCGTACAGTAACATCTGTGATAACTAATTTACTTTTAAACCTGACTTTTCTTGCGGTTATTTCAGTTTAATGAAAAACAAGCATGTCATTAAACGCAACATTTATAGAAATCGAACTTTACCTCATCCCTGACAACTAATTTTGGCTTCCCGTCTGACTGATTTATCCACGGTGGAGTTGAAAACAACAGTTCCCATCATTCCGCGTTTCTCCACGTCGTCATCAAGCAAAGCCGGTGTTGTTGTTTTGAATGTAGCGCCCTCTAGCGGCATCTAAATCTTAGGTATTCCACCTTTAACTTATCTTTCTAATACGTCTTATTCACGGCAGCGCCATCTTTGATTTTATCCATACCTTGTGCCAATAGGGAACCAGTTCCGATGTAAACCAGACCGAATAAGGATGGTTTTATTTAATTTGGGGAAATACGACAACTCTCGTCTCTCATTCATCTTTTCATCTGACAACTGTTTTTATCTCTGGGCAACATATCAACTTTGCGTTACAATGTGCTGTGCTGTTTTTGTGCCAAACATTCCTTTTACAATTTTGGCCAAAATGTTCAATCTTGGTCTTATCAGATCATGACACAGATTTGCACAAGCTTTTTTGAGTCTGATTATATGGTTTTGCAAAGTTTAGCCGAGCTTTGATGTTTTTTGGTCACAAAAGGTTTGCGTCTCAAAGCCCAGACATGGAGAATATGGGAGAGAGTTGATAGTTGGAGATTTAGCTGAATCAATTTTAATGTTGCTGTAGCATCCCTGACCAGTTTTATCTTGGTCTTCTCATCTGTTTTGGAGGGAAAATGTTCTCGATATTGTCACTGTTGTTTCATATTTTCTCAACTTGTTGATGACTGTTGTCATTGTGTTGATGAATGGGATACCTAATGGCTTGGAAATTTTGTAGTAGCGTGTAGTACCATTTATTTGGTGTTAAAGGGATACTCCACTTTTTTGAAATAGGCTTATTTTACAACTCCCCTAGAGTTAAAAAGTTGGGTTTTACCGTTTTCGAATGTATTTAGCCAATTTTCAGATATTTAGAAGAATTTCAGTAACCAGACAGAGTATCCTTTTAATCAGAGTCACTTCAAGTGACAGGTGTGTACTACTGCACATGAGATTATACTTTTTTTCAGTGGGATTGCATAGGTTATTATTACACATTAGAGGTACAATATGTAAGAACTTTGTAATAAAATATCCAAAAATCTCAGTGTAATATATTTCCTGCAGTTGTGTACTTAAAATATCCCAAAAGTTCCCAAAGATTTTTAAATTCAGAGAAATTCCAATTTTAGATAATTTCCAAGATGCAGAGAGCTCCAAGTCCATGAAAAACTTCGACTTGAAAGAGCTCTTACACATTAGACAGGTGAGCAAATGTACATAAAACTTGTCGGTGTTATATACTGTAGTTGAACATGATGAAATGTTAGAATATGACCAGTATGATATTCTAATGTTGATCTAGCTTACAGCCAACAAACTAACACATAGAAAAACATTATAACTTTCACCACACTCAAATGCAGTGTAGTATATAGTGTAGACCAAGTGAAACAGTGCAGTGTTAACTCACGTGCTTCATTCATCAAATGAACTGACCTGTGTGAGTAATTCAGCAATTGCGAGTAGTTTATATTAAATGTCCTTATTCCTTTATATCCACAAGACTTGCGTGTGGCTCTGATATCGGTCTCTGATTAGCAATTGAGCCCTGTTTCAAACCACAGTCATGATAAAAACATCAATGTATTCACTCATCCATTAGCATTATTCAATCCATAAGCTTGACGACAAGTTCCATAATTCAACTGGAATTTTGCGTCATCAACCTACACCTTTGTAAGAGATTAGCGATCTCTAGCAGCAAAAAAATTACATATTGTATCTTTAAAGGTGCAAAAGTTCTGATTCTTTCTTTCTTTCTTTCTTTCTTTCTTTCTTTCTTTCTTTCTTTCTTTCTTTCTTTACATGAAAAAACCAAAGATTACTTTATGAACATTTTATTACAATTATGTAATTTCTAACATTATGTGCAGTTTTTAAATTATGAGTTATTATAGGGTCAAAGTAGATGTTTGAAGACCATATTATGCAAATGTGATACCATATCACAAGTGAGACTGGAATTCCTGACGATTCGTTACTCTATTCTTTCTTCTGGGAGACAATAACTTTATTTATTGTGCACTTTCGACTTTCCAACTTTGCAGACTCTTAACATTCACAGACAGCTATATCACTGCATGAAATATTCTAAAAAAAGCATAATAGAGGCACTTTAAAGAGACATTGCAATAAACATTAAAGTTTCAAAGGCGTTTTATTTATAAATATTGATCAACAATATTGTAATTAACATTGCAATTAATGATAGATACTGTACCTGTATGTGTGTATGACATTTTATTTATGTATTATTTTAACACATTTTTAAAGTAACTTCAAATCTCTGTGATCATTTCTACTATCAGTAAATAATGTAATAATTGGATCATTAAAACACAATAAAAAGGTAGACTATTACTGTATGTGTCCAACATTCCTAACACCATGTATATGTCAAAGAGACATGGTTTCTTGTGAATAGAAAGAATCAGATATAGAAAGAAGCCGATGGAAATAAGACTTTTTGTTCTGTTTTGGAAAACATGCTAACATTACTACTATATACTACTCTAAAGCATGATTAGTCCTCAGGTCTCTCTCTGGTCTCATCAGATCAGATGCAAGAAGATACTGAGCAGGCAAATTGCTACTGTAAGTCATAAAAAGAAAAGAGAGAGTTATTTGAACTGTATGCATTGAGAAAAGAACATAAATGTTATTGTTGAATAAATTGTGACTAACACAACTTTGGAGAACTTCTGAGAAATATATTTACCATGACTCAGTAGGCTGGTGAGTGAGATGTTGGCATTTGATTTAGCTGTGGTCCTAGCTGTGGTTCTAGCTGTAGTGCCAGCTGTAGTGCCAGATGTGGTGCCAGCTGTGGTGCTTACAACATTAGTAGAATTGACATCAAGTAGATCAACCAGAACAGAGGACCCAAGTACACTTGTTGGTGCTCCCAGCACAGTTCCTTTAAAACAAATTGCAAAATGCCAGCTCAGGGTTTATGCATGAAAAGTTGGGACCAAATTATATTAATGCTAATTAAAAAAATACAAATGGAGTTGCTTGATGCAAGTAATATTGGTCTAATCTTTTTATGGTTTCTATACTGTTTGTGTCATAATATATGATCATGTAACATAGCCTATTGGCTTATTTATATATATATTTTTTAAAAATGTTAGTAGATTGACTTAAACTTCCAAAATGTAATGTAGGTCTGGGTTCAAACATTCAGACACGCAAAGTGAAGCATTCACGTGTCGTGACTGGAAAGAAAGTGAGGCTTCGTTTTTCGTTGATCACTTGTTTCTCTGACAACAATAAGCGCACGAGCACGGAGCTTCATGAGAAATGAACTCGATACATGCTTTGAAGCTTCAGTGTCATAACTGCCTGGTATGGACTGACTTTGGATTATAGGTCCGTGTACTTCTTGATAGTTTGTTTTTCAATTTGAAATGAAATAAGAACAAGATTATTTTTTAGTTTTTTTTTTTTTTTTTTTTTTTTTTTTGGTTGACGGGTCAAAAACGGATACGTGTCTTTAAAATCTGTTTTGCACGTCCCTTTCAGCCAATTGATCAAGCAAATCTAAGCCTGTGATGTCTTAGTTCCCCTGGTCTGTTCAACAAAATAATAGTCCTATGGCTCTGCGTAGTCCTATGGATCTGACTTTGACTGGAGACGACCCACCCTCCCTGGGCTGGTGTGTGAACATGGAGCTCTTGTTCACAAACAAGATCTTGGACACAGTCCATTTTTTTAGGAGGAATTTCTTCCAGTGTATCTTTCACCCTTAGCACGCCCAGGACGGCACCCCTTGGGTACCGTGGGGTCTGGGTGTCCAAACCAGACCTGCGTTTATTGGAAGTCTCAAATCTGAATCTGGCCCAGGACAGGCCACGCTCCCTGGTCATGTCTGAGTACACGGAGCTCTGAACACAGAGCAAATTTATGGATTTTGAAATTTTTCAAATTTGACTCCAGCCAAACCCTTGAGCTTGAATCGTGCGCAGGAAAGCTACTTCCTGCCTGGGATGCACTTTCAGAAAACCAGCCTATCTTTTCCTCAAGGTTTCATACTTCCAGAGCTCCACCACGCTAGAGATTGAACTCTCTCCCCAGCCAGAGTGCACCCCGGCTGGGCTCTGCTTTCTCCTGGAGGCCCTTTCCCCTAGGACTTACAGATCAGCACTGCGTGGTGTAATCTGGATTTTAAACCCAGCCAGAGTGACTCTGAGTAGGACTCATGACCGTCTGATGAGGAGGTGTGTGTGCCACCACCGAAGTCCCCTCCTTGATAAAGGCCCGAAGGTCAATTTTAGGACTGACTTAGACTCAGGCGGAGCTCCAGTAGACACACCGATATGTCTGTGGCCAGGACAGAGGCACCTTCCCTGGGGTTGCCAGGGAGGTCTGAGAGCATGAAGCTCTGAACCCACAGCAAATTTATGGACATGGTCATTTTTTTTTCCAGAATTTGACTCCAGAGTCAAACCTGCCATGGGCATTTGATCTTGATTCGTGCCCAGGAAGGCTTCTCCCCTCCTCTACAAAAGCCCAGAGATCACTTTTTCCTCCACTAATGCCCTGTCAATCATCTCGCTCTCTCACTCTCGTGGCTATGATTACAGTAAGAGTAAAACTTTAATTTGCCATCATCAGGCCTACCCACCACCATCAGCAGTTTTACCATCAGCATTACTTGGTGAACTACTGATGACGTCACAAGCTCAGATTTCCTTGACCAATCAGCTGAAAGGAGCGTCTCATGACCGCTCACATGTGTAAAACGGATTTTGAAGTCATTTACTGGTATTTTTAAATGATAAAATGGATTCAATCAAGTCAGACATCTGAATAAAATATAACAACCAGATTTGTTGCATGTGGCCTGACTGGCTAACGAGACGAGTTTCTAGACTTGGAACAACCAAAGAAGATTTATTTCTTTGTGATTATTTAAAATGATTTTTAAATGGCAGATGTTTTTGACATTTTGACCCCACTGTATTTGTAAAGATGTCTTTGAGTGTTTTTGGTATTAGCTAAATATTCTATAACAGCCTGTAATGTAACAAACTCACCATTGGTTGAACCCTTCCAGATGTCAATGAACATGAGACTTTTGGAATTGCTGATGGTGAAATTTGTACCATTGACCCTGCTTAGGAAGGATGTGAAGTTTGCATTATTGGGGATGGTGAAAACACATTGAATCAAGCTCGATTGTATCGAACCCTGGATATTGGTTACATCAGGCTGGGGAAAAAAGGATATTGATTCAAATATAAAAGTAAAATTATTTAAAAATTATTTGATAATTTATTTATTTGAGAATTCTTAAACAATACGCTCACAAATATAATCTTACTGTATTTGTGGTCTCCAGTGTATTATTGTAGAGTGCTGTAGTTTGGAAGAAATTCCCGCTATTATTATTGCCACAGACAGTGATGAAATGACGATCCTGCAAAAAAAAAAAAAAAAAAAAAGAAAAAGAAAAAAAGATTGGAGGGTGCCATTATGAGAAGGAAAAAATGGATGTAGCACCTGCCTCTGTAATGTAAAACAATGTTTTTTTTGTTTGTTTTTTGTTTTTAAAAATGATACATTATTTACAGACTACTCAATTTTAAAAACAGATGGAAATGTATTTATATACTATATGTTTTATTGTATGTAAAACTTGTTATGTGTTATTTTATCATTTAGGAAGTATGTTAGAGATGAAGCAAGAGTCTGCGGATGAAAATTTGGCTTTGGTCAGATCAGGAACAATGCATGAAATGGCAACATTTATGTTAAAAAATTTACATGGTCCCTTTTCAAATAAATAAAATTAAATTAAAATAAAACCAATAAAATATATAAACCTCAAATAGCCGACTGCTTAAACACACTTTTGAGTCAACCCGGTCTCATCCCAAGACGTCATATAACTGACGTTTTGGGACGTCTTTTGACAATACGTCAATATCCGCCTTTTTAGGGCCCCCTTAACCGTCGGTAGATGAGTTTATGGGATCCTAACTCTACCCCAGACCTAAACCTAACCCTAAACCTAACCCGTCACCTAACTGACGTTAAGGGTAAAGCGTCAGTTGTATGACGGCCCGGGATCGCCATCTACCGACGTTTAAGGGGGCCCTAAAAAGGCGGATATTGACGTATGGTCAAAAGACGTCCCAAGACGTCAGTTATATGACTTTTTGGGATGAGACTGTGTTATTTGAGTGTGTATACTAGCTTTGGGATAAACTATCAAACACATCATAAAATAGCCTCTTTAACAAATGCTCCCTGTCGGTTATGATTGATAGACCTGTAAATCATCTTGTCAAAGATAAAATTCTCCAAGTTTAATTTAATTAAATTTCCTACTGTATCGGAGAGAAATGCAGTACGTTGATCTGCCAGTTGTGGGTCTTTAACGCAAAGACTCTCCTCATATTCATGCATAACTAGAGCATGGCGCAGAGCAGGTGGAGTCTTTATACCTAAAGAAAAAGATGCTACAAGCATCAGTCAGTATTGTCTTATTTCGCTATTAAACGCTGAAGATAAGATTTTCTTCAGCATTATTGCTCAGAGATTGTCCACCTACCTATTAAAGAATGGCTTCATTGACACTTCAATTCAAAAAGCGGGCATTCCAGGTTTCTCATGATGCTTAGAAAGCTCAGGATGCTCAACGTTATCTGGCAACAAATTCAGTCAGCAAAAAAGGAGAGGATGGAGCTCCATGTGACATTCCTGGATTTGGCTAATGCATATGGTTCAGTGCCACATGAGCTTCTTTGGGCAGCATTTGATTTTTTCAGAGTACCAATGTCTGTAACAAAGTTAGTGAAAGTCTATTTTGGAGATTTGCAATTTAGTTTCTCAACTCCAAAATTCAGCACTCCATGGCAACGCTTAGAGAGGTTGGAATAATGGCAGGATGCACCATTTCTCCACTGGCTTTTACTATGACAATGGAAGTAATCATAGGGCATAAAGATGGGTAGTAGGAGACGAGTGCTTGGCTTCTGGGATGCGACTACCACCAATCAGAGCATACATGGATGACATGACAAACATGACTACAACAGTAGCCTGCACTAATCGGTCATTGAGGAAGTTAACAGATAATATTGAATGGGCACGAATGCAATTTAAGCCCTCTAAATCAAGGAGTATCTCGATAGTAAAGGAAAGGTAGTAGATAACATTCGTCAATAATGGTGAGGCAATACCAACAGTTTCTGAGAAGCCAGTGAAGAGTCTTGGGAGATGGTACGATGGGGACCTAAAGGTCACAGTTTGAGTGGGAGAAGTTAGACAGCAAGCAGTGGAAGGGTTGGAGAGCATAAACAGCTGTGCTCTACCAGTTTGGTCTACTTCCGAGGTTGCTGTGGCCACAGACTGTGTACAAGATTTCTTTGACAACAGTGGATTAACAGCTGGAAGCGTTAATAAGTTCATACATCAGGAAATGGTTGGGAGTTCCACGCTGCCTCATCAGAGTGGGACTTTATAGTAAAGGAATATTGCAGCTGCCAGTCTCTGCTTTAACCGAGGAGTTTGGCACGGTCAGACTGGAAATGACCTTAGTAGAGTCATGCGACAAATGAGTAAGGGAGGCAGCCCTTGTGTTAAAAATTGGTAGAAAGTGGTCAGCAAAGAAATCTGTAGTAGAGGCAAAGGCTGCCCTTCAAATTGGGGATATCGTGGGACACGTACAGCATGGAAGAGGGGGTTTTGGGCTAAGTTTAGCTCCTCCTAAATGGCACAAGGCAGGCCCAGCTCAAAGGAGGAAGCTGGTAGTCAACGAGGAGGAGAGGATGAGGTGTATAAAGGCCATTTCCCAGGCCAAGCAGGGAGAGTGGATGAGATTGGAGAGTGTGGAACAATGCAAGATGGGCTGGCAAGACCTTTAGTCAATGGAAGAGAGTAGGATCAGTTTCCTTATAAGGTCAACATATGATGTCCTCCCATCACCACAGAACCTAAACCTCTGGGTAGGAGAGGATCCCTCTTGTCCTTAGTGTTCATCACCTGCCATATTAAGGCACATTTTGACAGGATGTAAGGTGGCTCTTAGCCAAGGTCGGTTTACTTGGCGCCATGACCAAGTACTGCAATGTTTGGCTTTAGCATTGGAAGGCAAGCGTTGTATGACAAATGAGTTGCCGCTTATTCAAGCAAAACATTACACACAGATAGGGTTGGGAACCGAGAACCGGTTCTTTTCCAGAACCGGTTGTGTTTTTGAAAAAAAACCGGAACCGTGCAAAATTCCTAAGTTTCGGTTCCGAAAACGGTTCTGATGCCGATGCGATATCATCATGTGGGCGAAGTGCTGGGAGTAGAAGACGCCGTCTTATTCCTAAATGACAAAAACTTCACCACTGAAGTTGCGATTTGCTCTCACACGCGCTGCATTTGTCACACACAGACACACGCACGCTGCGCGCGCCGACCGCCGAGTCACTCTCTAGCCTACATTCAAAACTTTTTTGCGCTGAGAGAGAGAGAGAGAGCAGTTGTCGATATGAAACTGCTTTACAATCACACAGTCTCAATATTTATTTGTTTCACATATTCAAATGATTTCCGTTACAGAATTAGTGAGATTATAGTTTGAGTAAACATTGACGGTAGTGGTCAAAACAGATGCAGTCCGTATATTTTTTGTGTTCAGAATTTACAAAATATATACAATGAGCGAGTGCATCATAATGTTTTTTTTTTTTCAAACCGTGTTTTTGTCTTATCTTGAATCACTACATAAAGCCTGTAATACGCGTTAATACTCGGACTTCTTTAGACTGGCCGGCGGATCGCAGCTGCTGCGGAGTAGCCAATGCCTGCGTGACTCGTCATGGACATAAACAGAGAGAAGTAGCTCCGGCAACAATGTTCTTCCGCAAGACGCATGCAGTTCTGTTTATTAACTGCTAGAGCGCCGATTTATCCAGTAATGAAATAAGTAAAGTCTTTATGAATCAATCATTCAAACCGTTTTAAAAAATAATCTGTTCTACACACATATGTGTGTTAAAGCATATACTATTCCTTCTGAGAGGGTATTCTTCACTGTTGGAGATACAATAAAGGAGAGGTCTAAATTATTATAGAGAATGCAGAATTTTTTAATTTCCTTTATATATATATATTTTTTTTTTGTTGCAAAGATTGCTTAATAATATTTTGAGTTTGTTTACATTACCAGTCTGTTAAACTAATTTGTCATGTACTATAAGAAATAAACACAAAAAGCATTGTGGATTTTTCTCTTACTAATATTTTTAATTGAATGGGAACCGGAACCGGAATCGTTTGGCGGAACCGGAATCGGAACCGGAACCGGAAAATTTCTCACGATTCCCAACCCTACACACAGAAGACAATATTCCTCTGCCCAGGCGAGCAACCACCAAGAAAAGGTGTTAACACCAATTCTCAACCAGGACAACTGGAAGCTGCTAGGGACTGGAAGATGCTGGCTGATCTTGATCAACGGCTTATTTTTCCACCTGAGATTGCTACCACTAACCTACGACCAATTGCTTTGTAGTCTGGATCAGCACGCATTGTTCAGCTGATAGATTTAACAGTGCCATGGGAGGATGCGGTAGATGAGGCATATGAGAGGAAGAAACTGCGGTATGCTCAGGCAAAAAATTCTCGGAGCTCGGAGACCTCCCCCCGGACAGCAGGCCAAATACGCATAATCTTTACTCTGTTTAATTGATGTAAATGTGAACTTGTGAAGTGAATGATGGGTGGTTGGGCAGATATTGTGTTTTGCGGTAGGTGGTATGCCATACGGAACCGTTGCCACTGAAACTGCATTAACACACCAGTGGGGCTCGACAGCTTTTGACAAAACGGGTTGGCGCATATGGTTGGGTTGTGGAGAGTTTGAGAGATTGTGGTTAGGTCTCAGCAGCAGGAGGGATGTAGAGGTCAGTAAGCTGGGCTGAGTTGAGTGGGGGACAGAGGGGGGTGACTCTATAGGACGCCAGAGTCACTGTCGAGCCCTCTTGAGGTGTTGTGGGCTAGTCAATGAAACACTGAGGACGGAAGGTGCCCACTTTAAGACCCTAGAGATGTCCCCAACTCACTCAATCCAGACGGTTGTCATGCTGGTCCACTGGGGAGACCACACTGTAGTTGCAGCCGTCGTGTGTGCTGACACGCCAAGTATACTCTAGCCGTTAATGCCGGACAGAAGGGGAGTTACACCACCACGTGGAAAGAAGCGTAAATGGATGGAGAAACATAGTTTACTGTAAAGCCACATCTTAGTTTTGCTTATCTTGGCGAAAGCCTAGTATAAATCAGCATGAAGTTTTAACATCTACTCTCATGTAATGAAAATCATGCATAACAATGCATAAAAAGTTAATGGCCAGACGGATCTTTATAAAGGTTTACGTTGTTGCAGATAAAATATAACACAGATTTACATAAATATGTATA